AGAAGAGTTACCACCAGTAGCATGTTTCACGGACGCATAATGGGTCACAGAAATTTTCTACCATTAGGATATATTCAAGCAGCTCTATCAACTCAATCTGTTACTGGAAGTGAGATTGACATCTATGTTCAAGTCGGCAGATGAAGAAGCCGCATTAAAATCCAAATTGGAATTGCAGGAGTGACAAGTGAACACTGTAATTTTTACATGTTTCACCAGCAATAATTTTAAGAGAGACTGAGTCAAGATTTTCCATCTTCCAGTTGGTGCATGATTTATGTCAGCTTTCAAAAGCTTAGAGTATTACACTTCACCCATAAAAGATCCCTAATCCTAGAAAGAATGAATACAAGACCCATTTATGAATAAGCCACAGCAATCAATTTTGTACTGCTCGAGAGAAATTAACTGCTTGAGATTGCAAATGACAGTGGACTTAAAATTGTATTTGAGAAAACTTCAAATTTTCATGCACTCTGAATTAAAGTCTGACAAGTCTGCTTCTACTTTCAGGCTCCTATTTTTATGTAACAAAATTTTCTGAAGTGTCAGTAACTGAAATGAGATTATGAAGTAAACCAGATATAAGCAAGACACATTTGGTGTCACTCTCTCTTGTCACTTCGCTGTGCTTGGGGCTGGTGATTCCTGCCCCAGCCACTTCCCTCAGAATAGTTCTCTAGCTTGTTCTTTCTGCCGTGTGCTTTTCCAGGACGGCCCTCCCTGGTGAACACTTACTCATTTTGCCCCAACCTCTAGTGGGAGAAGATGTAGGCGCTGTGGTCACTGGATGGTGGCACCCAGTGTGGGGATTACTGGGAGGAGCTACACTCATTTTTCCCCTCAGAGATAGCTGGATGTTTCTGAAAATGGCACACACACACTAGAACTGGCTCTGCAAGCAGTGCCAACACAAAGAGAGACTCCGTTTCTGATTCTAAAGACCTCTGTCACTGTATTTCCTCCTTTATCTCTAAGTTGCCTTCGCATAGCTGGGTTTAGTGTAATTTTTATTGCTAATTTCATGATGTCCAAGAATTTTTCCTTAAGTCAATCTTCCTTATTTACCTAAATTATATATTAATTGTCCACTCAGCATTTTTAGTGAAAGTATTAATTTTACATTTTGTTTTGTGTTTTCTTGGCGACAGGATCTCTCTATAGTTCTGACTGGCTTGACTCAGGGCTGTCTTTAAACTCACAGTGATGGTCTTGCATCAGCCTCCAGAGAAATGAAATTACATGTATCCACCACTATGTTAAGTGATGTTGTATTAGCTTCAGGAAATAATTCAAATTTCCAAAATCATAACTAGATCAGAAAGATCTGCCTAGTTACATAGCCTTTTTATTACAAATTTTCACACTTTTTCCTGTTATTTTACAAATTGTTACATTCTACTTTAATTTCATCATTCTGTAAAAATACTCATGAGCAAAATTTAAATCCTCTTTAATGTTTGAGAAAAATAATTGTTCTTGTTCTGTGTGGCCTCTTAAATGCTTTCTATATAGTATCTTTTAATTTGTGCAAAATGCTTACGAATCATTTAGATTATTAAGTTTAATTGTATTCTGTAGTGATTTTTTTTCAAATTTGTTATACTAGTAATAAAATAGTAAACTCTCATGATCTGTTTTTAAATATATCACTGACTTCAATATTAGACAATATTTATCTACTAGAATGCAAAATGAGATAATATATCCTATTCAAATTTATCTTTTCATTTTCCATTCCGTACAATTTGTTTAGAAAAGTCTAAATAAACGTGATCCAGTTCTGTTTATTTCAACATCCCCAGTATTCATGTTATCTCCATTGTAACAACTACTGGAGATGTTTGTCCTACAACATCCAAAAATGATATATTTATGGATAGTTAATATAAATTTAACTAAAATTCCTTAAGATCTAGAATAAACTTTTTGTTTCTTCAACAAATTTAAATAATATCTCTATGTCTGTTTTCAAAAATATGAATGAAATAAAAAGAAATAAACTAAGGAAAAAAACCACAGATGAAAGTTCTATGACAGGAAGCATTTAAACTCAAATATGATTAACAAGAAAGAGCTAACCATGTTGGATGAACAGCATCTGGACAGAGGAGGTCTAATAGATAAATTCACTAAGCAGTTTACTTTAGCATATAGAAATACGGTATCAATCCCTGTTCAGGATAATCAGTGCATAACAGTACTAAAATAGTGAAATAATTGTTTTAATTATCACTAGGCTATACTGTATATCTTCCTTAAGTCCTTGGCCTTGTACAACCATTACTTTTTGTGTGTGTGCCGGGGACTGAACTCATGACCTCATACTTGCCAAGCAGGCACTTAATTCACTGAGCTAAACCCCCAGCCTTGCACAACCATTCCTACCACTATAATTCTTTCACCCGGGCAAGTCAATGCTTTTAGTATCCAGATCAGCTGGTATAAATGGAATATAGAAAAGAATAGCTCTGACTTTCTCAAGAATTTGAAAGAAGGTAAGTGTTATTTCATTATTTTAGCTACAGAAAATAAAATCAATTAAGCATGCACAAAACACACACACACACACACACACACACACACACACACACACACTGCTACATTTCCTTCAGAGTCAGTAGCTTTCATTGCTAAGAAGTTGTGAGAAGAATTTATCTTTGTTTTGACAACACCAGATCTAAGGTGGAATGTAAAGGCTGTGGGTATATCTTCATCCTTCGAAGTCATCTATGTGATTGTTGGAATTTCGGTAAACATATTTTCACTTGATTATATGTCAAATTGTATTCCCTTGATTTTTAGAGCCATATGCATACATTTTCGAACGTGTTCATCAGAAAAGAACCAAACAAATATTTGATGATTATTTGTACTTTGCATTTTTTTGACAGTGCTGTAGATTGAGGACAGGGTCTTGGAGATGCTAGGCAAGTTTTGTACCATTAAGCTATTTCTTTAGCACAAAAGCACAAAAATTAAATGAATATTAATATACGTATTACAAAAATATATTTTATGAAGCTATATATATTTTCCCTAAAAGACCTAAATTTCCATATTTTTTTCTAATTCTCTTGACATTTTAAATCTTAGGGTATTAATAATACTGAAATGTACCAACTTATTTAAAAATAATAGAATTTCTTCTTAGAAAATATCTACACTATGTCTTTCATTTGTCCCTTTCTTCCATTCCTTTTATGGAAAAATCAAATAATTGAATTTATTGAAGTAGAAACTATTGCATTTTAATAAAGCATAAACTAGGCATTGTTGTTTCTGAGTCTTTTGATGCTTTTTTTCTTCTGAAACTCATTTTCTCTGCTACTATTCTCATCTAAAATCAATATTCTTAAGTTTGCATTCTCCTTGCATTTTGAATGCAGATTATAAGAAAAAAGATCAAACAAATATATTCCAGCTAACCTGGTCAATTGTCTCATGAATATAAAAGATTTTTTTTTTATTTTAGGCTAGATTTATTATTTGACAATAATCAGTATTTTACTATATTTTCCCTGTTGATGAATTCTCTATCAAGGTGTTTAATACTTTGTTTTTTCAAGAATTTTTATGTATTTATCAAATACAATCACAGAACTGTTTAAATAGAAAAGTATTTCCAGGTTAATTAATCTGAATGTTTCTAAAAAATACATTTTGTTACCATTTATTTATTCTTATCATAAATATCTCTTTGAATTCTTCGTTCTTTTTACTTTACTTTAGTCAGTACTTTGATGGATTTTGGTTTATAATATTAAAAATTTCTCACATTTGTCTTTAAAATACCATTCTGTCTCAGTCACCTAAAACTAGATATTTATACTTTTATATTATATTAAAAGCATAAAACCAATTTTTAAATCTTTTTAAAAATACAGTGTTTGTACTCATTAGTTTAAGTACCTTAGAAAATAATCATTGCTTCACAAGAAAGATATGCTTTTCTCCTTTTAAATATTGCTAATATTTAAAAATGACATTTGTGTTTTTAATATACCAAAAGTATATAATTATAAATTATCTGATATGTATTATTTTTGTATTTTAAATGTATTTGAGTATGTATCTTTCTATCTAATATCTATTAGGAGAGGGAATAAGAAAAAGAAAAGACAGAAAGAAAAACATACTTCTTTTTTATGTCCTGGGCATCTGTTTCCTGAAAAAATATGAATCTAATATCCCTCGTTGGACAGTTCAGGAATAAAGCATAGACATACCGAATCTGAAACATTATGATAAAATTAACTTAAAAAGTCTTATATTAACTAAATCCCAAGAATAATCTATTTTAATATTAATAAATGTTGCCTCACTAAGCAAGATAAAGCAGTTGAACTAATAAGAAATAAAATCCCTTGTATAACAAGTAGCTTTGAAAAAAACAAACAAATCAATCATAAATATTCCCTTGATCATATGTAATGATTTTATGAACTGTGTATGTGGGAGCATCTCCCCAAATCCAGGGACAGAAGAAGAGGAAAGGAAAATATTAAGGAAATATATGTATATAGAGTCCCAGTTAATATGTCGATCTCTTCTGATATGTGTACTATCATTTATTTATGAATATCAATTTAACCCCACATTCTCTACATCTTGACAAATAGTCTAATAGTTATGTATGGGCCAAAGTTACTTCCATAGCATCTATCACTAGCTATTGGCTATCTATCATTGTGTAATAGTGATCACTATCCAAGACATAAGACTCTAAAAATACCTAGCATGAGAACCTATAATAGGAGATCTGGAAAATTCCAGTGTCTTACATATCAATTTATCCTTTTCCCATACCTAAATGCATGTTTGATTTACTTTTAAAACCTAATATTATAACAAACTAATGTAGTCTGGTTAGAAGGTACTGCCATAAACATTTTCCCTTTGTGTGTACTCCTTTCCCTCTCTCAATGGCCAAATGTTTTACTTTTAATATAGAGTTCCAAGGAAGCTGTAAGTATTGCAACAGCATCACATGTAATTACCTGTGGTGGAAGCAGTGGCAGTCGTATAAAGGCAAGAAGCATACTCAGGTCATTGCATCTCCTCTGCATGTCATACTTGACCCACATCATTAACGCATGGAAAATGGTTTCTTCATCAGGAACATTTACATCATCACTGGCCAGTAGTTTATGAAGCTCCTCAGCTGGAAGGAGTAAGAACTCTTGATTTCTGATAACTTCCATTATGTTTTCCTGTGGGTGAAAAACATCTTGGCATAAATTCTGCTTTACTTTTATTTGACTAGCAAAGCATCTCAGAAAGAAATGAGACAAGTAGTCAATAACTTTTGTTCTCATTATAACATAATCCTTGAGGCTCAATCCTTCAGAAACTGAAGCTGTTAAGATGAAAGTATTGTAATTGTAATTGAAGTGTAAATGTATCTGAGACAGCACAGATCTTGTAATAAATGGAGGATTATAATGTTCAGCTTTGTTATGCAAACAGAATGTACTAAGTGATTAAATGTTCAAGTTTCAAGTGCCCTGCTATGTAAGATTTAGTGAACATAAAAGAATAACAATGCATATTTTTAAAAGCTTGGCTACACATATATGAATCAGAAAATGACAATAAATTCATACAAAAACTGAATACTGTAAGATGTGTCATTATTTATTAAAAAGGAAAAAAAAAGTATCAGAACACATAGGCCATAGAAATCCCCAAATGCAAAACGTTACACTTTTATCTCTTATAACCCTTAATTCTAATGATAATTTCTTCGGCTTATATTGCAGTCACCTTTATATTTTTCAAAATTGATATCACCTCCTATTTTTTCTGACTCAATCTACTCTTAGCATCTCAGTTGCTTTCTCTATGATGACGCCAAAATTATATTTCTAAAACCTAAGTGAGCATACGGCATCACTCAAAGTTTTTGCTTTGTTTTGTTTTGTTCATGCCTGTCTCAGTTACTTTTCTCTTGCTGCTGTGACAAAATATTTGACACCCCAGATTTTGGAAGGGAAGGTTTATTTAGTTTACAGTTTTTGGAGGTTTCAGTCCATAATTGGCTGGCTGCAAGGCATAATGGCATGGCACTGGGGCATCACTTTGAGGGAGCAGCCAGAGCAAAAGGAGGAAGAACAAGCCTCTTTTTCTCTCTTATATTGTACACAGATCACCCCCTCCTCACGCAGGTGTAGCACTCACAAAATCTCTGCGCCCTCCTCTTGCACAGGATGGGGTATTACAAAGTAAGTATTTTGGATCCCTGCTGAGTTTTTTTCAGTTAAAGTTTTAAACATCTCAAGTTGGCACAATGTATCAGCCATAACAATGCCTCATCTCCTTGTATTGTGGTTCACACTTCATGTGAAACCCAGTGATTGTACAGTATCTGACCCCCTCTGTTTATAATTCATCTCTTCCTATACTTACCTTGCAGTCACTAATGTACTTACTATACTGTCAACTTGCCATGCTATTTAACACGTCATCCATTATTAACTCTTTGCACAAAATGTCATACCCAAGCGGCTTTCTTAAATCCTGCTATATTTCAATATTCAAATCAAGAGCAACGTATTGTACAAGGCTTTTTGACTTCTCAGTTACATCTCATTTGACTTGGCTTCCCACAAAAGCCTCACATTGCCTGGCAGACCCATCCTGCTATCAAACAGCAGGCTAAACTGTGGTTCATATAAGGGTCTTAATATAATTGGTGAGCTTGCCTTATGTAAACTTGTGTATGTAGATCCTGGCATGGTGTCTGGAAAATAACAAGGAAATAATATGTATTTATTGAACAGATGAAGGAATATTTGTAGAGAAAAAAACTTACAGTCACAAGTTAGAGTACTACCGCTTTCTAAACAAATTGTTACTGTGAAATTTGAAATAGAGTGAGAATAAGATTTTTAACATTAAAACTTAATATGCTGTTTGGCTTTTGTTGCTGGATTTTCTTTCTTTTTTTTTTTTTGGTTTACTTTTTGCTTGGTTGCATTCTAATTTATCTCTTTAAAATTAAAAAAAACCTGAGCATTAATCAATGCCAAATAACCTTTATATTATGTATTTATTTTAAGCATAATAACATTTAATTTTGAGAGTAAATATGATCTGTGTTAGCACAGAATGCTTATTTTTTACTTCCTTTCTGGTCATCTGTCGTATATCTACATAAATTATATAATAAGAGTACAATATGTGTATACTGTCATGCATATATTCAGCAATATCACAGGGTAGCTGAGTTATTTTGGTTCCTAGTAATTATTTTGTCCCTGTATTTTTTCTGGGCTTTTTTGGTGCTATGTAAATTGTATATATATTCTACAGTTATTTACTAAGCTAACAATTTAAGTATTTTCAGATTTATTGCTACCAGATTTATCTAGAGGTAAATGTGAGAAAAATATTCTTGAGGAATCTTGGAAAGTTATTTTGTTCATCTGTCTTTGAAGTTATTTAAAGTGTCTGTGCCTACATACAGAATTGTATAGCTAGGCCATCAGTATAGAGTGTGGAGTATAATAACCTTTCCAAAACTTTTAGGGTTGTCAATCATAAAGACACTGTTCATAACATATTTTGTCATATTTCATAGTGTTCTCTTTATTTTGACGCTTGGGGGAAATTTCTTTCAAGCTTCAGTAGCAGAAATAATTGTTCTCCTGAATAGTTGGTTTGCTTTTGTAATGGATGGTATAAATTATGAAATTTATTGGTTTCTCTTTTAATTTGGCCCCTAGAAAACTTAGAGTCAAATTGTGATCCATCTGGCAAGAAGGTTATAAGTCTTTATATTTTAATTCATTTTCAGACAGCCATGATAATGATTTCATTTAATACTGTCACAGTAACTTTTCTTTCTCTATTGCCTTTTTTATTTCTGCATCTAATTTCACTTATATTCCTATAGACTGAAAAGCCCTGTCTTTGTAGTCCTACTAAATCTTTTGAGATCAATGTTGTTTGTCAAAATTGTAGACAAGCTATGCATTAGGAACTGGTGGTAGTTTTTACTATTTCTGTCACAGTTGGCCATATATTATTTTGCTCATTATTTTTGTTTTTATATATTTTGTAGTCCATTTGATTAAGTATCCTGTCAATGTCATGTGACCTAATATTTTCGTATAATAATTTAAATATAGCTTCTTGACAATAATTCACTTAATTTTTTTCTCATAAAAGAAGTAATGACTAGTAACACTAATTTCTTTACATTGTTTGTAAGCAGTTGATTTTACCTGTAAATACCATATGATGAAGCATCTAAAATATTTTAATATGGTACCTTTCATACTGACAGTTTATTCAATAGTTTTTTTCTTTTCTTTTCTTTTTTTTTTTTTTTTTTTTTTTTTGTCTTTTTCCTTTTTTTCGGTACCTGGAATCGAACCCACGACTGCCTGCTTGCAAGGCAGCCACTTAGGCCGCTGAGCTCAATCCCCGGCCCCTTATTCAATAGTTTTTTCAGTATAATTTTACTAAACGCTTTATATGTAGCCATGAACTTGTGAGGCCAAGAGAGAAGAACAAAAGAAAAAATATCAGAAGAGATATGTATAAAAAGAAAGACATCTAGAAAAGACATTAGCCAACTCTATAGAAATTAGCTTTGCAAATGGACTAAGAACACTTAAGTGGATTTTGAATCAGGAAATGAGAGGTTGAAAAAATATTCTGTACGTAAAGCAAAGACACAGAAGCAGGTAATTCAGTGTGTGAAACTGATTGACAAGGAGCACAGAAAATTTGTGCAAAGTAAAATTAAATGGATCATTTGGGTGGGTAACAGAATAGATCTGTTGTAAAGTTTAACAGTCTGTTTCATTTAAGTATCCACATCTTCTATGTAAGTGTTGAGAACACTTATAAAGAAAAATTTGACATCAAATGTAGATTATCACTACTGAAAGCACAGTTTTACTAAATAAAGACTGAATTTTACTGATTATTTTTGTTACTTGATACTATGTTCAAATAGTTTCACTAGTTTTAAAAAAATCATGGTTTTATTTTGTTCTAAATACAATATTCTTACAATTACTATATAATATGTCCTGAATAATCTGAAACATTTTGTAACATTTATTTCCTCTATATTTTCATTCGATTTTTATCCTCGTTGTTTTATTGGTAGTCTAAATAGTAATTTCCTTAAAATTCTATTAGAAATATTTTATATTTAATAGAAACTTTAGGTAAAAGTTAATATTAACATTGGGTTGAACAGAAGAAAAGTTGATCTTGTTAATGGCTATCTTGTGATTGACAATGCAGATTAAAATATAGATATAAAAAATAAAATAAAATGTGGGCATTTATGCATATGTGTCGATCCTTGGAGCTTGAGGCAGCAACATCATTATGTTTGAGGCCAGGATGGGCTACACACAGTTGGAGGCCAACCTGAACTACATAGCAAGACTATCTTCAAAAGATAAATAGCAATAAAACTTACTAAAAATACTTTGTTGTTATTTAAACAATCATAAAATCAAATTCAACTTTATTTCATTAATACCTACTATCAAATTAACACAGTTTAATATTACTGTTGACTAAAGAAATTACCTCTCCTCTAAAAGCACTAAGACCCAAGTCTTTCCATATTGTACTCCATTACAGTTGGCAATTAAATTGCCAAGCATTATGATAGGAAAATTAATCTTATGCTAAAACCATCACATAATCTCCAGCTTAATTCTAAAATAGCAGAATATATGGAGTTTATTTAACTGTCCATTTTAAATGTTATTAGTTAGAAAGATGCGCACTTAGGAGTCTCATACTGGCAAATGAAGGGAGAACCTGGGAATTGGTTTCATTCTACAGTAAGGGTTATTATGTATGAATGAAAATGTCAACTTCTGATGCCATGTCATAATGTTTTAAGATTATAAAACTTCAGACATTTCTTGTAAGCAAAGCATTCAAAGTTTCATAAAATACATGGTTCTACTATTTTCAGAAGCAAAATTAACCATTTTTTATTTCTTAATATAGTCTTTTCATTACCTTAGGTCCTGGATGGAGACAAGTTTTTCAATTTCTATAAAATTAGAGAGAAAAATGTGGCATTGGTTCTAGCAGATGCTTCTGAAGAGGGTACAAGGGTAAACTCTTGGTATTTTCCTCCTATGCCTTTCTCATCATTTAAAAGAGAATCCTCTTGACAATTTTGTATAAATTTAAATTACTCTCCTTTTTGGTGCTTTATTCTTGCATT